AATCTTAATGGAAAGATGGCATCATTGATAGTGCTATCTTCAGAGGGTCAGGTTACAAAGGAACAGTCACTGATCACGATGATCTTCAGCAGGATAAGAGCTTTACTGTTGCACAAACAATATTGAAAGTGGGACCTTGAAAACTTTCCCCACATCACAAGTTATAGGATGCTTAAACGATCCTACCATTGGTACTCTGTATAAAGATTAAAATTTAGTATACAGAAAATTTACTAGAAATTTCCTATCAATGTCCTTGCATTTCTGGACATAACTGTGAAATTGGGCATCACTTAATTTTCATGAACTTTGCAATTTTTGAAAATTATACATGTACATGTAATTACAATTAAGGTAGCCTAAACATAATTAAATTCAACTTGCAGTGTTTGGACGAGCTCTTTTCTCCAGCAGTAATTGTACAATGCCATAGTGCCCTTCTCTTGCTGAGTCTATAAGAGCAGTAACTTCATCCTATAATAGGATATTAATTGATTATTTATTTTAATCTTACAAATTTAAAGAAATTAATTCTTATTGTGCATGTAGGATCTGGTTCTTATAATTTATTGGTAGATGAGTAGTTGAGTACATGTACATGTAAGTTATTAAACAAAGTTGTGAAATAGTTTTATGATCAATATACATATAAATCATTATCATCAAGTATACATGATTTGTGATTTCACTTACCTAGATTAAATTTTTTAATTGCAAAAAATAAAACCATGCAGTTTGATGGCTTAGCAACAAAATTCATAACAAAAAATTAAATCTGTGAAACAATTAAATCTTGAATGAGTTAGTGAAATTTATAATAAAAACTTTTGAATCACAGCATATTGAATTTGAGATGCTTGTGTTGTTATTTCAAAAAAGGATTTGCAAAAATAATAAAAAAACGGACTGCCACCCTAATGCTTATCATACTGTACATGTACATATAGCTGATTATTTGTTTTATTTTCATGTCAACCAAAAATATTGACCTACAAGAAGCAAACCACAAATTACTGTATGCATATACATATAGTGCTTTTATTTTGGCAATTTTGCTGTAATATTATAATTGGCAGTTTTCAATTTGGAATTTTTGTGTACACATGCATTACTGAGCATGTGCATTAATGATTGGCAGTTTTAATATTGGCAATTCCACTTGCAGACCACCAATTCCCAAAGTAAAACTCTGCCAAATTTAAGCGCTATATGGTATTAGACCAAAAAACAAACTACATGTATAATGGTACACTAATAGTCTTATTGTGATATTCATACCCATTAGTTTAATGCAAAATAAATTGTCAAAGGAATCAGTACACTCACTGCATCTATTAGATTCACATCAGCTCCTGCAGACACTAAAATTTTTACAACATCATGATATCCTTTTTTTGCAGCAACGTGAAGAGAAGTAGCTCCAGACTGTAAGAAACACAAGAGAATTATAAATATGCATTACAAGAAAACAGACAGAGAGCCACAAGTACATGTACAAATAAGGGTAGCAAGGCTAAAAATATGTAATAAATGCTAATAATCAAACAGTATCATGCATACAGCATTATACATGTACATGCATGTAAACATACACTGTACCTCTTCCGGATTCTGATAGTTTACATTAGCTCCTTGAGACAGTGCAGACTGGACAACAGTAGAATCACCTCTTGCAGCAGCTTCATATAACTCATTATTCTATGATTAAAGACAATATATGATACATGTACATACATGTACATACATACATGTACATACACATGTACATGTATAATGTAAAAAATAGCCGTGTATGATCATGACCATAATTATTACCAAGTTCATAATAGACTACTAGAACTACGTAAAACATTAAGGCATTCCAACCCCTAGCCCCACAATCATCATACAGATTAGGTTATTTAACTTTGATAAGAGTTACATATACATGTAAATGAAGACCCTACGGTGGTTGGTCTGTACAAATGCACTTCATCACTAAAGGCTTCATGCACCCAATTAAAGCCAAGAAAATTAAATAGCAATAAATTAAAGCAATGTTACACTATAGTGACAACACTAGCGGTATATTACTCTTTCATCCAAATTGATATACCGTATTTTACCGATTAAACGCACAGGCATTTATTTCTTAGCAGCAAAAAAATTCGTTGCAAAAAAAGTAAAAAAAGTGACCCTGAGCGGGAATCGAACCACCAACTCCAGGCAAGTTAAACCAGGCTCTAACTTTTAAGCACTTTGGGGCTACCTAAACAGTGGGGCATTATTTTTGGTAGAAATATGCGTATCTATAGCTAGAATATATTAATGACAGGTGTTTATATGATAAAATACAGTACATGTATTACTACCATATTGTAACTACATGTACTCACATGAGTTGTAATATCTGGATCAGCTTCATCACATAATAACTGCACAACCTTTTCATGTCCTTCTCTTACAGCTGCGACTAGAGCAGTTTTTCCAAACTACACGTACATGTATGTATAAAAATATGCCAATAAAATCTTTTGAACACTTCACTTGAGCTTGAGTAAAAAAAGACAAATGGTAATGAAAGCATGCATGCAAGCAATTCAAAATATAAATAGAGTGCTTAAGAGTAAAAGTATTCTGTAATCTGTAGATACAAAATGCCAAATGAATAAATTATAACCATAATTATGATGATGATAGGGACATTTTATACTACAAATTTTTACTGATCCATGAGTTTTTAAAATTACATGTAGATGCAATTATTTTAAAGGCAAAAATGTACATGACTTACAAAATTTGCAGCTTTCTTATCAGCTCCATTATTCAATAGCAATTCTACAACGTCATAATCTCCTTCCTCTGCCGCTACAATAAGAGCAGTATCTCCAATCTATAAGAATAAAATACATGTAAATACCATATACATGTAGTTCAAATTCTTTGTCGGTCAAAAACTTCATCAAACAATAATGCTGGATCAATTTGATGAATTTTTCGACCTACAAAATTTAGAGCTACAAGTACATGTACATGGTATTCAGTCAGAATAATTGCATATTTTAAAAAATATTTAGATGCACTGTAATATAGCCTGGTTGATGGTGAAGGTTTCAAAATTATTTTGCAAAATTGAGTTTCATAAAAATTAAGACAAAAATTAATTATTTACAAATCTTTTGTACATTGTATATTACCGTATAAGGGTTTTATTTAGTTGGTATAAAATTTCACAAAATTTTTAGATTTGCCATTTGTTGGTATAAACTTTCGCAAATCTTACCTTCTGCAGCCATTTTTCCTAGTGTGCCACACCTCTTTGTGGAATTTAATTTCGCGAATTTAGTGAAAATGCAAAATTCGTGAAATTTATTACCAGTGAAATATAACTCCTACACATATATGGTAATTTTTGCAGTTTTGATTGTGGTTTTGAGACTTTCGTGTATAAATCACAAAAATATAAACTTCACAATATTTCATACTATACCCAAATTAATTTTAAAAAATAATTGTATTGGTGATGATGATGTGATTTATGATGCAAATACATATATTTGTTCTCACAAAAACAAGGAGCCTCAGCAAAATTAATTTTAACTTGCCGTGTTTGGATCAGCTCCTTTCTTCAGCAGTAATTCTACAACATCACAGTTTCCTCCTCTTGCTGCTTCAATAAGGGCAGTATCTCTTTCCTATAATAGATACTTTCATTTAACACTTTTATTTAAGAGCTTAAAAATTCAATTTTGTTTATGCTGTCATAATTACTGTAATTATAGAATTTTTCAGTGGTGAGTAAAATTCATAGTGTAGTGTAAATATAAAATTCAAATAACTCAATATCAATTAACTACATTACCACATGGTTCTCAAGCTGATTCAAAGAAAAGCTACAAATTTGCCTATTGAATATGAAAATACAAATGATATGCTACACTTTGTTGTTCAGGCAGAAAGAAAATGGCTACCAGGAAAATGGAAGAAATATATTAGTCATTACTTCATTTTTAGTGGATATAAGCTACAGCAATTCCTCTAAAAATTCGTCACATCAAGTTTTGTATTTGTAATTTTTTTAAATGAATTTTTGGAGGGAGAGCAGTTTATGAAGCCTTTAAATTAATTATTTTGTTAAATTTGGAGGATTCATTAATACACAAGCCAGCTTTGGCCATTCAGAGTATCCTGTTCTTGTATTGAACTTAGAGGAAAGTGACAAAATTAGAACCACATGGAACAATAATATTTGAAACAATTTTTTAAGGATAAATTTTGGTAGAAAAATTTGAAATAATTATTGATTTTCGAATTTAGAGTGCCAAATATTTAGAGAAATTACGGTAATGCATACATGTAGCTCATTATACTTGATGTACATTGTACACTGTATTATGCATGTACTACAAATATACATGTACATCCTATGACAAGAAAATTAATTTTAGCTTTTCAACTTCTAAATGTTTACTCATTGCAAAATTAAAGAGAATGTACATGTAAATTGACAAAATTATCCTACTGTCCCAAATACATTGTACACACAAAGTAAATTACAACAACGGTATTTGCATAAAAGTATCCCTAAGACTTAGATTGTTTTCACCACCTTTCATGCATAGCTGGGTTCTTAGTAAGACTTATAGAGGCTCTTTCTACCTTGTGATGCTTCTAGAGTAATCCTTAGACAGTGTCTATGTGTTCTCTTGTTGCTAAAAATTTTAAACTTTGTCAAGTTTGTAAGTAGCAATTCTGTTTGCCGTGGCACACCTGCTTTACAGGTTGCAAAGGCACTATAATTGTTATTTTTCCAATAAAACATGTACTGTACGTGTACAGTACGTCATCGATTAACTGT